ATTTTGCAAGTTTTTTTCAATAATTTTGCTAACTAAATGTTTCCTAATGTCTTTTGCAATGAAATCTACTATTGCAATGGCAGTTTTACGTGAATGCAACCCTGTTCCCAAATCTAAACCATTTGTTACTTGCAATTCAATCAGATCTTCTATATATGAATATGGTCTGCATGTACACAGACCGTACACTGTAGTAAACATTCTACATGTACTACCCAAATATTTCTTTCCTTCAATTTCTTTCTGAGAGAAACTTGCTGTATTTCTTTATTCTTTCCTGATGGTTCAATATGGAAATTCTTCCATTCCTTTGCTCCGTAGACACTTTTTTCTTTGGTCAAAATTTCAAATCTTCTGCAATGCTTGCAACCCATTTTTTTCTGGGAAACTTCCAGTCCATCATATTTTTCCCTAAAATTGTTTTACTGCTGCAGTGTCCAGCAGTCAGGAAGATTCCTTTCAATGTCCGACTCAGTTCTTTCCGTACTTGATAATGTGCTGGTGCTGCTTTCCCCAAGTTGCAGTGTGGATGATGTGCTGGTGCTGCTTTCCCCAAACTCCAATGGTTATGGTTTTGACTCTTTTGGATTTCCTTTTAATCTTGGTAATGTACTGCAAAAAAAATTCAACAATGTAGTGGTTTCGACTCGATTGTTGTTGTAAGTTGAGTGGTGAAGGCAGTGGCAAGCAAAAAAAGTGGGCGAGGAGCAGATATCAGTAATATTCAGTTACTTTTAAGAGTCTCTCTGACACTATAGCTAGTTAGTGTTTAAAAGATGTTATGGAAGAGGAACAAGTTTCACCAGACAAGAATGAGACGGAATTGAAAGTGGATTTGAAAATGACCGCCTATAAAAAGATGTTGCACTGTGTATATAAAAGAATGGCTGATATTTTAATAATTACAATTCATTAATTGAAAAAGAAACTCTTAAAACAGAAATACTATTAATAAACTAAGGGAGTTTGTTATTTTGTGCCAGTAGTGGCACAAAAATCTTTCCTAGCCAAGACTACTTACCTGGACCTACAATCCCTAATGGAATGCTTTCTCTATAGTAGAGAGAGAAAAAAGCCAGGGGAAAACATGTTTGGTCGCCTTTTTAGAATGCTTAAAAATGTACTGAAACTTTTTACAGCCTTATGCATAACCGCATAATATAGTACAAAAAAAAAGATAATAGTACAAAATCATCTAAGAAGTTAGATTAAGAATGGAATTGATAAGGCACATTCACAGAGCAATACTGAATTCTTTTTCTGAAATTTATTCCTCAGTTTAAAAAACTGGAATATATGAATTAGGTTCAGTATTGGGCTCTGCTAGTACTCAAACAGCTATTCAAGATGTAGTGTAGGGAGGGCAGGACTGGCGACGCGGCGGTACGACGCGCAATCTTGAAGCTCCAAGATCGATCCAGACCGACCCTCCTGTACCATTGCTTATTGACGGCGAACAACATTTTGAAGTTAAAGAAATTCTAGACTCTCGACGACGGAGGGGTCAGCTCCAATATTTGGTTGCTTGGAAGCATTTTCCTTACCAAAAATTAAGCAGGCAACTTGGCTAACCAGCTACGCCGGGGTCCTCCTCGGTCTTCTTGGAGCTTCCTGCGGTGAGGATGGCTGGGCAGCTAGCCTGGGAATCGGCACTTGACCGGGGCTAGAGGTGGCGGCGGCAGGAGAAGGTAGATGACTGGTAGGGCTTGCTACCTTTGCATCCTCACTCGCCAATTGGTAGTGGAAGGCCAGGCAGCAACAACAGTGTGGTGGGTCGTGGGCTGGAGAAGATGGCGGCCGGCCAAAGATGGCGACTACTGGCTGGACAAGGCAGGTAGCAAGGGCGGCTGGGTGGCCCGGGAGTTGGCACTTGACCGGGGCTGGCAGTGGCGGCGGCAGGAGGAGGTAGACAACCAATTGGTGGTGGAAGGCAAGGCAGCAACAATGAAAGGCCGCAGGCAGCAGAAGATGGAGGCAGGCTGGGCAAGGCAGGTCCAGGAGGCAGGCTGGACATGGCAGTCTGCGTGAGCGAGGGCAGCTAGTGGTGGTGGCAACCGGGGCTTGCCCTCACTCACCCAGATCAAGCAGGACGGCAGAAGGCAGGTAGCGATGGCTGGCTGGTAATACTGCTGCTGCTGGGAGCAATGGCAGCGGGCAGGAAAATGTGGGAAGCGTAGCACATATGCGCTATAAGTAGTGACTGGGTGGAGCGGGGTGGGCAGGGGAGAATGCCGTCAGCTATTGTCGCACATGCGCAATAATGACTGACTGGGCCGGGAATGGAGGAGCGGGCGGAGAGGGGCGGGGCCAGCCAGGGGCCCGTTTTACCAGTTCTCCAAACTACCGGGGGCCATAACAACAGGTTCTATAGAACCGGACCAGATCGGTAGAATCCCACCCCTGCAGTACAGGTAATCCTCAACAGTTCATTTAGTGACTATTCAAAGTTATAATGGCACTGAAAAAGATGACTTATTATTTTTGATACTTATGACCATTGCAGCATCCCCAATTACATTCGGATGCTTGACAACTGGTTGCAGTGCCCTGGGGTCATCTGATCCCCTTTTGTGACCTTCTGACCAGCAAAGTCAATGGGAAAGCCAAATTCACTTAAGGCACTGTCCTGGGCACTCACACATAACTATGGTTTAATGAGTTTATTAATATTCCCCAGCAATTCCCTTCACCAAAAAAGCCAGAACTGTCCCAATTAAGTCCAGTCACAAGCAGACTAGTCCACAGAGCAATGGCGAAAGAGCCCGCAAGGCACTTGAAAGTTTCTCAATCAAAATAAATTCATCAGGCAAACTTAAATCCACAACACAAGATTGCTCATGAGGCAAGAAAAGTCCAGAGTTTCCAAGGCACGATCTGTCAAGGTACAGTGTCAATCCAAAGTGAGGCAGGAATCACAACAACCAGAAAATAACTTAACAAACTAACAGTTGTTCCCAGCATTGCCTCCATCTGTCTGATGTACACAAAGAAGGGCAAAGCTTTCTCCTCACAAGTAATCTGGTTGACCTTCTCTGTTCCTGCCTTTTCTCTGCCCTATGTTCTTGGAACAGGGGCAGAAGGCATTTCCTCCTCCTCATCCTCACTGACCAGCTGCAGCTGCATGTTTTCCCCACCTGGAACCTCAGCCAAATCCCTCACAGACGGCTGCTCAGAGCCATCAATCATCTCAGCTCCTGATGTGACAGGAACCAGTTCATCCTCCCCCAGCTAACATCTAGAGAGGTATCTGGGGAAGCACCCAGGGGGAATCATCACACTTAATTTAACAACTACAGTGATTCATTGAACAAATGTGGTAAGAAAAGAAAAATAGGGCAAAATGCAACAAATTTCTCATTTAGCAACATAAATTTGGGGCTCAATTGTGGTCATAAGTCAAGGTCTATGTGTATTATCATAGTTCTGTGACCAAAATTCAGGCGCTTAGCAGCTGGCATGTATTTATGACAGCTGTACTGTCCCAGGGTCATGTCATCATCATTTGTAACCTTCCCAGCTGGTTTCCAACAAGCAAAGTCAATGGAGGAAGCCAGGTTCACTTAAGGACTGCATGATTCACTTAACAACTGCAGTGATTGGCTAACTACTGGCAAAAAAATGATAAAAAGAGGCAAAACTCACTAAACAGCTGTCTTCTTAGCAACAGAAAATTTTGGACTCAATTGTGGTCCTACGTTTAGGGACTGCCTATAATGAATAATATGACTGTAGGATTTTTTCATAATAATGTGATAAAATGTAGGATTAGGCTGTATGATATAGATATTATGATATAATATTATGCCTATTACATTTTCAAATCTGTTCAAATGACATATTCAGAAGAACAGCAACATTATTCAGGTTTTATTCACCTGAACTTGGGTGTCAAACTGGCTGCCCATGGGCTGGATGTGTCAAGCGCAGACCACACCCACCCCAGCTCTGTGAAAGGGAACAACATCGCAAAACATCACAGGATGGCAATGTGACACAGTGAGTTTGACACCCATGACCTGGACAATTCTCTAAAGTAGAGCTCCCAACCTTTCTGGGTTGGTGATCTGGAATGAGGGAGGGGAGAAAGAAGGGATGATTTTGTGGGAGGGACAAGCACATGTATGTATGCATGTACAAACACCTGTGATGATTGTGGCAATGCTTGCATGAATGGGGCTGTGAGCACTGAGGCTTCCATGAATGGGGCTGTGAGAACAAGAAGACCTGCGACTGCTTGCATAATAACATAAGTGCAAGTAGAGCCACAAATGCCCGTGAGAGTGCGAGTGGGGCCATGTGCAGAGGCGTGCGCACCTGCCAGCCACTCATGCAGCCTGTGGCTTGGTAGTGGACTGTGGCCCACAGGTTGGGGACCCCTGCTGTAAAGTGATTCTTGACATCAGGTGTCAGTAGTATTTATGGCATTTTCATTGACTGAACTGGATTAATGTCCCACAATAATTAGTAAGAGGAATTTTTTTAAAGTTATTAACTGAAAAGCAGTGCAGAAACCAGTATTTCACTGTCTATTTTCAAACAAATGTGAACTTTGCTGTAGTTCAACAAAAAGTATTTTAAAAAAACATGTATTAACGTACAAACTTAGCACTATCATACTGTGCAATAGCTTGTTAACATTGCTTTAGATGCTGAAGTACTGACATTTTGAAATTGAAGTATTTAGATGCATTTAATTACTTCTATCATCTAGAGAAGATGGAAATGCTGCTTAGCCAATTCAAGTTTGCTGGAACTAGGTTACCCGCTTTCTAAATTGATCTATTTATTTGAACAGTTCTTTTCATACTCCTCAGCTTCACAAATAATTTTCCACCTTACAACTCTTCTTCTGGCTGAATTCATCTGTCTAAATATCACTCAGCTGAGGATAACATCCAGCAAAATTCATGAAATTCATAAAAACTCTATGTTCTCCCAAAATAATATATTTTATATCATCCAATGATTCAGATTATTGTAGACATGAGAAAAGTACTTACTTGTCCTGTTAGGGTTAATGTGCTGTTTCAGGAGGTCAATGGACCCCAGACTGATCACAAGACGTTGTCCAAACCAGAAAGAGACAATTGGGCCATATTTCTCATGGAGGTTGACCAGAAACTCATGCAAGCTGCCACTAGTTATGATGTCGGGAAGATTCCCATCTCTGGAATGAAAGAAGGATGAGATTAGGGCAAATTCACTGGAATCTTCAAAGAAGAAATGAAGAACTTAACATAGAATCACAACATTAAGCTGAGCCATAGTTTGTACAACTATTTCATTAATTAAATCACAGTAAACTAGGCATAAACAAATCAGCCACAAACCAAAGTTTGTAGACCAAAACTGCTGGATTTAAAGCATAGTTTAAAACCAATTCTACTTGAACCCTAGATCCAACTAATTATGTCACCCAGACCAGAGAGAAGAATTCATTTCCAATTAGGCATTACTACCTTTAAACGACATGTTTAAAGAATATGTTTTTACCCTATTGAACCAAGCCTGCCCCAAATAGTCTTAGAAACTTTGCAGAACTTTAGGCTACAGCTTCATTGTTTGAAAGATGGGAATAAAAGTAAGAGGGAAAAACCTAAAATCAGCTAGGAAAAGGATGGTGTAGGCAAGGGAACTGTCTTCAAAGAAAAACGGAGAGCAATTATTGAGATGAGAAGGAAAAAAGCAGATAGACAATAACATACATAGGAAACAGGAGTTTCCAATGCTAAGTATATCCTTCCCTATATAAAGTGTGGTAGTTCTAAACGTTGTCTTAAAATTTGCAACATGCCCAACAAACAACCTAAAAAAATTAAGGGCTCTTCTGTGAAGAAAAGGGAAATTAAATAGAAAGGAGTAACTTACTTTTCATCAGTTGGCGTGATCCCTGGGATTCCCAAAGCTTGTCGGGAAGACTAAAAAGGAAGGTAATTGGAAAGATTAAGATGTTAATATTATCAAGTCAACAGAAAACAAAATATATTATTTAGCCAACTGTTACTAAATCTAGATGCTTATGATTTTACCAAACATAGGACTACAAGTCATCATAATTTTAATTTCTATGGGACTAAACATGTACATGATTATAGTTTATTTTAATCCTAAATACATATATTTGCATTCAAACACAGCTATTCAGAACTATTAATTTATAAATTGCTTGTGTTGCTGATCCATTATGGAGTTCAAAGGAACGTATTTTAGACAGTTTCCCATTCAAAACTAGATTACAAATGCAGTCTAACAAAACAAATCTTGGATAGCTGAGGTTTAATTCCTCTACACTTTTAGATATTAATCTATATAACTTACTATCTAACACTATTTGTCCTCCTTCCTCATCCTATTTCTTTTTGTGCTGAATCTTCCAGACTGTAAAGTTTACATTTTTATTCATATTATAGGCCCTCTAAGAGCAGTTCTTTTAGAAAGCCAAGCCAGGAAAATTTTAAATTAAGTAATTGCATTAGAACCTTGATACTGTGCTGATTTCCAGGATTTGAATAGGTCAGGGAGCCCTTGAAAAAACCCCTTCTCCAATGTTTCAGCAAAAAACTTTTCCCATCCTTGCTAGGGACTGGACTTCCCACCTCTGGGCATGCCAACTATTTTCTTCTCTACTTCTCTTTCTGACCCAAAGCCTCCCTCACCACAGAAAGCTTCCTTCCTTCCTTGGGGCAGATCACAGGCCCATGTTAGCCCATCTTCTTTCCACTGGCTACTAACAGCTGAGCTGTCCACCCTCTAAGGTAGAAAAGGGGCCTTCATATCCCCTTTAAGGGGTGCCTTTGAGTGGGCAATGGTCACAATTTGAGATTATCGGGATGTTGGCTCTCATCCTAAATTGAAATTGTGGATACATCTGGATATTAGAATACATGAAACAAAAGAAAACTGAAGAAAATAACTGAATCCTACTGGAGGATGACCCACCTACACCAATTTGGCTCTTTGGATTAGTGTTCTCATAAATGAAATATGAACACTCCTTGGAAGGAATTGAGCTGGACTCTTGATGATTTAATGGAAATGTTCTGACAACAATATGGAAGTAGTTAGCTGTTACTTTCTTCCAGAATGCCACATTTGCTTCCCAGTTTTATCTTCACTATTCCTATTCCCATCCAAATATTACCCTATCCTGTCCATTTCTTCAGATGGCTAAATGCTGCCACTTGCTGTCCATATTGAACAGACTGAACTCCTTTTCTCCTATTTGCTTTTTCCTCCACAGTTGGAGTGAGCAGTAAAGTGACTGACTAAATCTGACCAAGGGCTTCTCCACTTTATCTGATTAAGTTTCCATTTTGTTTGCCTGCATCCCTTGCAGTTTTCTCGGATTTTCATGAGTAGAAGATGGGTGTTGCTGGGAAAACGTTGGGGATCCTCTTCCAATGCTTTCAGAAGTATATTAAATATGGGGAGGGGGGGACAGAATGGGACACGCTTTCCCAGGGAAGGTCTCACTGGAAGCAAGGTGGATGGTCTCTGGAAAACCCAGAGGGCGGGGTGGGAGAGGAATTAGAAAATGGTTTCTGTCTCCTCTTCGGTCGTCAAACTGCAAGGAGCAAAGGAGGAGCTTTATTAAACTGCTTCCGTAAAATCATGAATATAAATAGAATAACAGAGTTGGAAGGGACATTGGAAATCTTCTAGTCCAACCCTCTACTTAGACAGGAAACCCTATACCAATTCAGACTTCGTTGTCACAAGAAACTCAACGGAACTGCTACTTCCACACAGTCCCGGGCACGAATTGGATGTTGCAAAGGAAATGGTCCTGGCTCACTTGTCTGCGAGTCAGCCCCGAGTTCTTACTTCCAAGTAAAGTTGCCTAGGATTGCATTGCAACGAGTGCGTGGCGGTGAAACTTCCCTCTGGTTTGCTTTACAGACATTCCCCACCTCACCCCACCCCAGGCTCACACCCCGCTTATTTACCGGGTAGAGGTAAAGCACGGCTCCCACCAGGATCAACAGGAAGGTGACGGCGAAAATGACAAAGTCCAGCATGATAGCTTGTCCCCGGCCAACCGCCTTTCTTCCTTCCGTCTCTCCTTCCGAAAGAAAACCCGTCCACGTCCACGGCGGTCTCCACACCACAGCTCCAACGCTGAGCGGAGGGGTAAGAAAGAGGCGGAGATCCGAGGAGGGAGGCGAAAGCAATCGAGTGTTTAGCGGCGCGAGCTAAGTTCCGCCTGGCTACGGGCCCAGTTCCGCGGCTGGCTCTAATCCGTACTCCGCTCTTCTCCTAGGCAGCCTCTCCCCCTTCCGCCGGTTGCCAGGCAGACACACCTCTCCAAACGGAGCCCGCTGCTCACCTCTTCTCTTCCAGCGCGAGGTGGCTTTTCCACGGCTTTCTGGAAAAGACACGCGTTTTTAACAAGATGAGAAATCGCCGGTGGCTGTTGCTGATTTCCAACTCCACTCTCTACGGAGGAGGCTATCTAGACCACTGCCAGGAACAAACAGATCAAGACCTTCCTGGGGGCGTAAGTTTATATGAGAGGCAGCGCCCGGTGAGAAGAGGCTCTGCATCCCCAGGTTGACGATCCTAGGATCGCTTTGCCTCCCCAAACTGTTCCTTGGCTTCTCCTTTTAACTTGCTGGTTGTACATACTGCCTTCTTTTCAAAGTGAACGAAGAATTGTAAAACTAATTCAATGCTACTCCCCAACAGGAAACAAGTTACTTGTTACAAAAATGAAGCCCATAAAAGAGAAGCCCTGTAATCAGAAAACTATTTAACACTGAATAATACTATTTATATAAGATTGGTGTGTAAATTATAAATAACAAACAGCTTGGTCACATCAAAGAATGTTTCTCAAGAACCGATTATGGAAAAAGAACGTTTCCGCAAATTCTTATGGGGAAATAGGTAAATAGATTGTCTATTTATTTAAAAATAATCTGTGTTCAGCCTGCCTTAATAGGCATTCCATCAGTGAATAAACTGGCCACTTTGCTAGGTTCTTGCTTTAAAATGCTAAGTAAACATCAGAATGATGGAGAGAAGCACTTTCATATTGCTTTAGTTTTTAGGGTGAAATGAGATACTGCCCAATCCCAAACTTTTGCTTGTTTGTCATAAAATTGTTTCTCCTAGGCAGATGAGGAAAGTTTTGTTTGTCCCCTATGCTCTTCATGACCAAATTGCATATGCTACACTGGCAAGGGAGAAGCTGGAAAGTTTAGGTAAGTCAGATCTGTCCTTCATTCACATAGAACAGGGGTCTGCAACCTTAAACACTCAAAGAGCCATTTGGACCTGTTTCCCACAGAAAAGAAAACACCCGGAGCCAATAATTTAACCAGTGTGACTGGGTGGGCATGGCCAACTCGACATCACTCACTCCCACCCATTCACTTCCTGCTCTGGAATATGGAGCGAGTCTCCATCCTTGACCATCCTAGATCAGGCTAGGAGGGGTGGGGGCCAGCCAGTGGTGGGATAAGCTGACGGAGCCACAGCAGAGGGCTGAAAGAGCCACATGTGGCTCCAGAGCAGCAGGTTGCCGACTCCTGACATAAAAGATGGGTGGGTGACCTTTTTGCTCCAAGACATTAAATTGGAAGGCATCCAATATTTTTATGTTTATATTTCCCTGTGTTAATATAACATAATCATAAAATACTGGTAATATACAATATGACTTTCTTTTCATCTTCCTCTCTGGCAACAAGCATGGGTTTTACCTATGCCCAGAGATACGCTTAGTCTTTTTCTTTTCCATCTTGACATCATGGGATGGGGAATTATAAGCTGCCTCCATCGTTGTATGTGCTCAAGTGTTTCTGAAAATAAAGGAGAAATCTTTGCTTTTCTCTTTCTGCCACAGCAAAATTAGATGGTGGTCCTCTAAGCCTGTGACTATGGTTTCCATAGGAAAGAAGTAGCTTAGGTTGATTCTTAACACACATTTAAATGCACCAGGAAAATGGGAAAGAGAATAATTTTCAGGGAAAGAAGCTGCCCATCTTCCTCTCTGTTGGCAAAGATGGAGGGGATTTGAGCTGACTTGGGCAATCTCTGCAGACTGTATAGTGCTCACAGTATTGCAGGGGGCCGTTCCTGGACTGAAGAAATTACACAGAATTTCTGAATGATCGTTAAGCACATGTGAAGACACTCAAAAAGATTATTCTACATCAATACAATTATATTTCAACTATAAGAACTGCTATGGCATTTGAAAAAAAAATTTTGCTACAAGTTTCTACAGAAGTATACAGTTTAAGTAGCCCTTAAGCCATATAGCATGGCTTGCAAAACACCTAATAATTCTATAAAGTTTGTAAACCCAGACAGAAGTTAAAACAAAAATGCTTAGGTGCTGGCAAGCCATGGCCAATCAGCTAGATTCCTCTCAGTAGATAAGGCTGTAGCACCCAAGTGCAAACTTTATCTGCTTGTCTATGTTTTACTTAACTGATACAGGCTTAGTGAAAAACACATGTGGAGGAGCTGCAGACAAACAGTCAGCTGCTCCTGAAAACATTGAAGGCAGGGGTGTCAAACTCGTGTTGTCACAGCATTGTCATGTGACGTATCACAACTTTTCCCTCTTCACTAAACCAGGTGTGGCCAGTACACAACGTATCCGGTTCATGGGCCGGGAGTTTGACACCCCTGATTGACACTCTTCCCCTGAAATCAGGCACTCTTACTATTCCAAACAAGGGTTTCCTTCTCACAATCACCAGAATTGTCCTTGATGAGGCCTTTTCTTTTTTCCAAAATTCTTGCACTGCTTTCAGTATATAATGGATATAAAAAGTCTACACATTCCTGTTAAAATGCCAGGTTTTTGAGATGTAAAAATCACTTAATTGAATTGTACATCTGACATGTTAAAGGTGGAAAAATTCTGAAGTTATTTATCTGACTTTTTCACATCTTAAAAATCTGGTATTTTGACAGGAATGTGTAGACTTTTTATATCCACTATAACTTAGCCAGCATAGCATCCTCAATATTACCCAGGGCTTGATCTAATTATTTAGTTGATGGTGGAGGCTAATGGGGCTAACAAGGAAGTTCTAGATCACAGGTGTCAAACTCCTTCACGTGACGTTTTGTGACATTTTCCCCATTCGCGGAGCTGGGGTGGGCATGGTCTGCACATGACGTATCTGGCCCATGGGCTGCCAGTTTGATACCATTGTTCTAGATGGTCATAAGAACAATATTCCAGGCTATTTAGCATCCTTTCTTCAGCTTCCTGTTTTCTGCACAGAAATTAAACTTGCTTCAAAGACTACTATTTCCTGATTTATCTTTTGATCATGAATTCATTATAGTATTTTAGTACTTAGCTAGAACTGTGTCTCTGAGCTAAGAACGCCTTGCTTTCAAATTCTGTTACAGTGCACATTGTTGCTTACTGATTTATATAGCTTCTTGTCTTCTTAGGCTATGGATTAGACAGTATCCATGAATCAAGCGATCCCAGAGAAGCTGTAACAAAAGCTGAGGCAATATTCATTGGTAAATATTAACCTCTTAAAAGAATTTGCACTGATTGTCTTATTGATAAGCCTATACTAAAGTACAAAAAGGCAAAGGTAGTAGGGTAGTAAGGAGATTTCTTAACTCTACTACTGCTTTTTAAGTGTTATGGCAGAAACATAGATTTTTCAAAATGCTTCAGGAGTCCTTAATATTGTTTTTTAGTTCATGTAAGACAGCTGTGATTTAACAACTGAAAGTTGTATTTAGGTTATAGCCTTACCTTTGGGCAAGTGTGGTACATTGAGCAAGACTCTGGTCTTTTTAGCATAGATAAGTCTACATGGGGGGGATTTATTTTGGCTACAGACCACTTGATTCTGAACATATATTAATGATCACATGCTAGAGGTGGGCAGAGTCAATTCACATATGATCCTTTTTTCACACTGATAACATTCACATTCTGGACTCTCCATGTAGCAAAAATATTTCTATTCCAGAAATGATCAGGAATAACATTACAGATCCTTCAGTTAAGATTTGAAGTAGAGGTAGTCCTTGACTTATGACCACAATTGGGACCTGAATTTTGGTTGCTAAGTGATGTGATGATTGAGTCATCAATAACTGCACCCAACTTTACAAGCATTAAGCAAATCACTGTAGTCTTTAAGTGAATCACATGTTTCTTAAGAGAATCTGGCTTCCTCAACTGACTGCTTGTTGAAAGCTAGCTGGGAAGTTTGCATACCGCAACCACAAGACAGTGCAACCATTGTAAATGTGAGCTAGTTGCCAAGCACCCAAATCACAATCATATAATTACAGGTAGCACAATGGCCATAACTTCGAGAACAGATTGTTAGTCATTTTTTCTAAGGCTGTTGTAACTTTGAACAGTAATAAATCAAGTACTACTTTTATCTCTGATGCACCAGTGTAACCTCCTTAAACCCAATTGCCTGTTTCAGTGGATTTGGTATGGTGGAGGTAATAGGGCTATCACAAAATATCTCAACTTTCCTCAGGACTAGGTTCTCACATGGCCTTTGTAAGAAGAAGCTTCTAATTCAGTGGACTCCACAACCTGTGGAATCAGATTTCATGCCCAAATAAAAAATCTCCAGAAATGAAGCACTACATCTTCCAGAGGCAAGCTATTCCATTGATTAATTGTTAATTGACAGGAAATTTCTCCTCAATTCTAATTTGGATCTTTCTTTGATAAACTTCCATCTATTACTTTTTGTCCTGCCCTCAGGTGCTTTGAAGAATAGATTGACCCATTCTTCTCTGTGGCAACTCCTTAGATATTGGAACACTGCTGTCATGTGATGACATGTCCTTCTTTTCATTAGCCTCCAGTCTCTTAATCATATTTGCTCCTTCCTGTACTCTAAAGTCTCAACATAATTTTTGTATTGCAGTGACAAAAAGGCCATGTAGGATATCACTTCATGGGATTTACTTCTGGGTAGAAGAATATGTATAGGATGTATTGTATATTGTGGACAGAACAAAAGGAATAAACTTAATCCAACAGTACTTTCTCTTTCTGTAGGTGGTGGCAATACTTTTCGTCTTTTGAAAGCTCTTTACGACAATGATTTGATACAGCCAATCAGAAAACGAGTTTTTGGGGTAGTTAAGTAATTCTGAAACAAACTTTTGGTACATGCTCAGAAATTATAACTATATTAAATATTAAACTTAACACATGCTGTGTTAAGCTCTCTAAAGAGTCCATTTTGAGTGGACTTTTGTTCTTTGAAAGTATTCTGTTTTTTTGAGTTAAGCATCCAGAGATGATTATTCCATGGATGCCACAATTTTCCAGAGAATGTTCAAGATGGCTTATGCAAGCTGTATGCTGATGAGACTCTGCTCTCTTAGTGTTTACCTGGAGATCATGTTTTGCTAGGCCAAGAACTCTGAATGACAGAGCATTATTACATTGGAATAAGGGCATGAAACTGAATAGGGAAGGACCAATCTATGCTGTTGCTATCCTTCAGAGTCTCAGAAGCATGGAATATAGAGCTTCTGTTCTAATCTGGTGACTCCTCATGTGGAAAGGGCAATATGAAACAATGATGGTCTCTGATGCTTTGTAATGGTTAGAGTCCCAGATGACTTGCAAAATCCAGATTCATATGGTAAAAGCGGGGCATCACTTCTGTAGTTTTTATACAATTTCTACATAGAATGTTTGTATTTTGATAGCTCTACAGAGAAAATGCTCTGGAAAATGCTAATGAGTGTGTGGTAGGGCATTTCTAAAACAAAGATGAAGTAGAAGAATGGGGAACTGAATCTTGTAATAACAGCATGCATTAGATTGAGTGCATGTATAGCACAGCACAGTCATATCCACCAGACATTTAAAGGCAGACCAACTCTTAAAATTATAACAAAATAAAGAGCCAAGATCATATACAAGAAACTTCCCTTTCATAAAAAGCTCCCACCACAAAGAACCACGGAAATCTAGAAAGGTTTTGGCATTCCTGTGAAATGTTAACAATTTGAGGAGGTTTCATTAACTTTGGGAGCCATGTTTTGTGTCAGCTCTGCTGGATCATAATAAAAAGGTCTACAACTGTTTATTGAAATCTTCTCCCCTGCAGTGTGTATTGAAAAGCATGGAGAACAAAGGGAGGCTTTAATTGTATTGTGGTTTATTAAACAGTAAATATGCTTCCATAATCTGAAGAAGAAATCTGGTGCTTTTTACTTATATCCATGGGATCTCGTTCCATTCTTAGTACATTTCCATAGTCCCTCAGACAATTCCTGTGGCAACTCTTTGTCATCCAAATATGCTCACCAGACCTTGGCTGCACAGACTAGATGGCTACAAAGAGATACAGAAGACTAACTCTTAGCTAAAATATAGGGGGTCACTTGGACTGTTGCAGCCCATGTGTGCTGTATCTAGGCCAAAAGAGGTTAGGTAAAGATGCAAAGAATCAAAGCTGGTGTCAGCTGGTGCTCAATTCAAAATCCAAGAAAGAAATACTTAGACTCCATTAATTAGAGAAAAGATATTTTTTACTGGAAATCAAGTGGTAGCAACAAAAGAATTCTCAATCTGAGAAAATGGGCACGTAAATCCCATATACAAAGTGATGGCAAAGTTCCCACCCCCAATACTTCAATTGGCTCATCCAATTAAAAGTCATCCAATCATCTTGCTGATAATTTATATAACATTGAAGATACTGTTCCAATACTGAGTTAGTTCTCTCACAAGCCCCATTGTTTTGTGGTTGGTGGGTGGAGCTTAAGCCCTGGGCGGAGCCCAATAACTCCAGGAACTCCTTCCAAAAGTTTGAGGTAAACTGGACACCCCTGTATGAGATTAATGTCAGCTGGTGCTCCATTCAAAATCCAAGAAAGAAATACTTAGACTCCATTAATTAGAGAAAAGATATCTTTTACTGGAAATCAAGTGGTAGCAACAAAAGAATTCTGAATCTGAGAAAATGGGTGCGTAAATCCCATATACAAAGTGATGGCAACATTCCCACCCCCAATAGTTCAATTGGCTCATCCAATTAAAAGTCGTGTATGTCATCATGTGGGCATCTCCAGGTGGTGATGAGGCCTCTGTCCGTTGACCTTGACATATTTTTATAGAGTTGCAGCTGCGCATAGCATAGGATAGAAGCCTAAGCAAGAATCTTCCCTCCCCCAACTTATACAGTTCTGTTTTGTAACACCTCCAGCTCACTTCCCATAACCATATCCCCGCTCCTCCCCCTTATGTTACTTATGACAGCCGAAAGATGCAAAGCAAAGGGAGAAAATCTTGAAGGCTGACAGCTGGCCTATCACACTGGCTTTCCACCATTATAATAATACTGTATCCTTTATGATAACTTTGTTTCACCTTTCAAAACAGAGCATATTTTAGGGGAAGGGAATGTTAGTGCAATGCACAGAATGTGTTGATTTCTATCTTGCATAAGTGCAGTCCCTGAAATGCTAGATTCAACAGAATAAAACTTCAGCCACTGAAGCTGAAACCTTGCTTGCCATTGTGGGAGTGGTCTTTTTGAGGTTTAGGGTTGTACAACTTTTGTTGACTCAATGACCAGTCAGTTTTTATGTGGAATCTTTTGGATCAGCCTCCAAAAGTGACCTGGATCTGGCCTTCCTTGGAAAGGACAAGCTGGAGTTTTAAAGCACTACTATTAGCAACTAATAGCACTACTATTAGCAACATCCTGGACAATTCTTGATATATTTAAATATTCAGGTTGGATCACACTTTCAAAGGAAAAAAGATAGTCCAAGAATATTCAGACATAAAGTAATTCTTTCCATCCACATCCTCTGGAGTCAGATTTCATTCCCAAAACTCTGTCTTAGATTTGTTATAACATAGGATCTCTCTGCATGCGATGGAGTTCAGTTAGCAACCCAAATTGTAACTTCAGAGTAACTTGGAGTATTAATCATGCAACTTTGCCAGTAGTTGCTGCCCTAGACTTTAATGAAATTGCAATATATGTTTTTATTCTTTAGTATTTTTACACTTTAGAGGTAAACCTGATTTAAGTTCAATAAAGCTTCAGGTCTTATATTCTGCTTTGTATGTATAGGATGGTCAGTTATAACTGTCACATTTCAGAATTGCATTACAAAAGCTTTTAGTATAGATTTGACAGTTTCCTTGTGATTTTAAGTTTTCGGTATGGTAAAAAGAGAAATATGCAGTCAGAGTACACTTCCTATGATTAGCTTTTCAGATTAAGAAAAAACTGGACTTTAATTTCCATGCCAGTATCTTAAAAAGGAAAAATCTATGTTCTGTATCTACGTGAGCATGTCAAGTTCGAAGTGTGCTTTTGCTGTTGCACGAAGGCGATAAATGTGTATTAAAAACAACTTTGCCAAGGCCTTGGCTGTTGGGATCTTCTGGCATGCTACAAAATGAACCTGTTTTGAAAAAAGATCAGTTACAACCCAAATGACAGTATTTCCTGCACTTTCAGGGAGTTCCACTATAAAGTCCAGAGAGATCTCTTTCCAGGGTGCTGAAGGTTCTGTCACTGTTTGTAAAAGTCCAGGAGATTTTGTCTTTTTTTTTGCAGCAGAATAGATGAGGCAACTAGCAACATAGTTTTCAATGTCCTTTTTGAGAGATGGCCACCAAAATTGTCTTTTGATGAGGTGCAGGGTTTTTACAAAACCAAATGCCCCGCTATTTTTGAGTTGTGGCATCATTTCATGAGGTCCATCCTCTGGCTGGCAGGGACGTAAAGTTTGTTTTCTACCCAGGCTAGACCATCTTTGAGTAAGCAAGTGTTTTTCTGAGAGTTTCCGTGGAGTTTTCAGGGCTTCTAGATTTTTATGATCAGTCCATACTGATTTGGTTCCCTTCTAGGAAATGCCTCCATGTGAGGAATGCCCATCGCACAGCATATGGCTCTTTCTCCCATATGGCCCATCTTTGCTCGGTTTCTGTCAATTTCTTGGAAGTATAAGCACATGGTTGTAACTGTCCACGTCCATTCTTTTGGAGTAGAACTGCTCCAACTGCTATATCGCTAGCATCTGCTTGGATGACAAATGGTTGTTCAGGGTCTGGGTTGGTTCTGCTGAGAACAGTTGTTTAAGTTTTTCAAATGCTGCTTGGCATTCCATCGTCCAGGTAAGGGGTTGCCTTGGTTTGGGTTTCCCCCTCCTTTTGTTTTTAACAAGTTCATGATGGGGAGGGCGATATTCGCAAAAGCTGGGATGAATTGGCAGTAAAAGTTTGCAAAACCCAGGAAGCTTTGCAGTTGTTTGTGAGTATGGGGCATCTCCCAATCGATGACAGCTTTTACTTTTTGTGGGTCCATCTCTATTCCCTCGTGGGATATTCTATATCCCAGGTAGTCAATTTTTTCTTGGCGGAATTCACATTTAGAGAGTTTTGCGTATAGTTTGGCGTTTAGGTGGTTTGTGAGAACTGCACGAAGTAATTCGGTGTGTTCTTTTGTTTTGGTGTAGATTAAAATATACAAGATAAACAAGAACCCCTTTGTACAAAAATTCATGAAGGGTCTCATTAATTAATTGCATGAACACGGCAGGGGCTCCTTGTAATCCAAAAGGGAGCACTTTAAATTGGTAGCATCCCAGTCTTCCACTCATCCTCTTCCCTTATTCCAGTGTGGTAGTATGCCTCTCATAGGTCTAACTTTGAAAAAAAAATCCTTTAGAGAGGTGGGCTAACAGGTCCTTCATGAGGGGGAGTGGGTACGTATTCTCCATACTGATGACATTAAGATTTTTGTAGATGCACCGTGCCATCTTTCTTTTCACAGTATAATACTGGGGCTGCTATTTTTGGTCAGGTAGGTTCAGTGAAACCAGTTTTTAGATTTTTATCGATAAATGCCCTGAGTTTTTAATTCTTTGGGGGGCATGCAGTACATTTTTGGTTTTGGAAGTTTAGTCCCTGGTAGGATTTCAATGGCGCAGTCTGTGGTGCAATGGGGTGGGAGTTCATCAGAAGCCTCCTTGCTAAATACTTGGGCTAAATCCTGGTACTCGTTGGGGATGTTAATGGGTTCAGCCGGCTGACTGGCCATGGCTGTTTCTCTGTTCTTTCTTTTCCTTTCCTCTGGGCTGTTTGCAAATGCTACATGTTTCTGGAATTGTACGGTTCCTCTCTCCCAGTTTATTTTTGGATTCCATT